CGAAAAACGGCATGGCGCACAGTGCGCACCCTTGCAGGGGTAGCGCGTCCCCATGCGCTGCGTGCACGGCGCACCTCGTGCGCGCGTGCGCGCACATGCGCGCGCAGTGTCACCGCGCGCATTCCGCAGGGCGCACCGCACCGCATCGCGCACCGCACCAGTGCGCCACAAGTATGGTCTTTGACGTAGGAATGAGGCTATTGCTTTCATCACAAAGAGAAAAATTGGAGGAGCTAATGGGTCCCCCAGTCATACAGACCGTGAGATCAAGGAGACTTGTTTGGCTGCTTCATTGAGAGTTAATACGTTGTACAGAATATGCCTGCCTGGGATGAAACCTGTTTTATATGGAGGCATTTGTCAGTCAGGTCCAGGATTCGGAAGGCCAAGGCTTTGGCTAGGATCTTGTTGGGGAGGGTGAGTAGTGAGATAGGCCTATAACTCCTGATATCTCCCTTGTCCCCTTTCTTGTATAGCAGTGTGACCACTCTGCTACTCGACAAGTTCCCCAATCCACCCTTGAGCCAACTGTTATTATAGAAATTCTGAAGGTCGCCCTCTAATAATGGCCAGAATTTTTCCCAAAGCTCTTTCGTCAAGCGTCAATGCCTGGTGACTTGTTGTTGTTCATACTTTGGACTGCAACTGCTTGTTCCTGTGAGATTGTTCCATCCAAATACTGCAACATCCTAGCCTGGGTTTCTCTAACGCTTGGTGAGCTGGGCGTAGAATTCTTCTTTTGGTATAGTACTTCATAGAACTCCTTGGCTATGTTCAACATTCCTTCACTCAGTTCACTGTGCATTTTTATATTTTCGGTGTGCCTGAAGGAGTTCTCAGACCTTCTATCGAGTTGGCCCTTGAGTTCGCTTTTATTCACACTAAGAAATGTTTGGACATTGACTCGCTCAATTCATGCCCGTTCATTCTCTCTCTTTTTGCAGACCCATCTCCACAGGGCCAGTTCTTCTTTTGCTCTTTCAAAGATGTCAGCCGCTGCACATTGTAGTCATCATTTTCCCCTGTTTTGGATTGTGACATGCATGGGAGACACTTGCAGCATGCAACTTGCAGACAGACATGCACAGAATGTTCACTCACTCTTCCCGAGCGGAAAGGGCAGAAGGGTGCGGAATGGGCAGAGGGGAACGCATGGAGAAACACGTTCATGATCAGAATATGTTGTGGCGAGATGTAAACCCTAAGGGCGTACTCACACTAGCACTATCTTAAATGCATCTGACAGCATTTACGGCCGGGTGTGTATGCATCTGGCTGCGATTCCGTTCAGCAATAAGTAGAAAACAGTAGTGTGACTATAAGCGTCATTTTCGTAATCGGCTGCAGACAGATCCCAGTATTCCCAGGGGACATGTCGCCGCCTGCAGAGAAGACGTTAGTGGTGCTACAATGATTTGGAATGGGTTCGTGAGTAATCCTTGCCATCAGGGGGTAGACTCCTACAAGTTGCGGGTTTGCTAGCATAGTCAAGGGGCATCAGGTGGCCAGAACGGGACTGAAGAGGCAGTCCCCACAGCCTGCAAGCTTTCTCAGATCTTTCATCATGTTGTCTGTACTTTGTATAAGGGACGATGAACCCGTTTTCCAGCAGTGCAGCTCCCTGCCAATAGACTGGAGCCATCTCTGGGAGGCTAGCAGTGGTTGCTCGTTTCATCACCACTAGCCCACCCAATGAATGAAAAAAGAAAAGAAAAGAAAAGAAAAGAAAAGATTGTGCCCTAAGTAGTACGTATTGTGTTGAAAAAATCTGATCATTTCACTCGTTCCAGCATGGAGTTCAAAGGAACAGTGTACATTTAAATGGCTTTTGTCTTTTCTTCCGGGGAGGGGAGACGGGGGGGTGAAGAAGCAGCATTGACTTAGGTCATCCTGTGTGTGACCAGGTGGCTGAGATCTACAGGCGTTGTATCAGCTTGCACCAAGTAGCAGACAGCACGGCATCGATCGCCCTCAAATCACCAGCAAGTCAACGACTACTGGGCATTCTTGCCTCTCAGGTGTGTTAAGGAACTTCCCTGCCTGTGACTCTCGAGGCGGCAGAGCCGGAGTTATGACTGACAAGTGGCTGAAAATGCACATATGTAACTCTTTATTTTACTTATTTTTGTCACAAGTAACTGTCAATGAACAGACTAAGAGTTCAGAATCTTCAGATCAATATGCTAGGGCATGTAGGGACAGGGGGCAGAGCTGGAGAGCATAATGCAACCACTTCACACACGCTCCTAGTAAATGCTGATTTCGGAGCTCGCACAGTTGTTGGCATTTTCTGGTCCACATTCAAGACGAAAAGGGGCTTGGCCACCTCCTACTCCCCTGCTTCGATTCCTCTTTTTCTTACTACTACCTCCTCTCATCTTCTTCTTACCCTGCTTGTGGTCCTCTCTTCTTCTGAAAGAAAATGAAAGAAAAGGAGTCTAGAAGACCCTATATACATTCTCTCATGAAGCGAGTTCATCCTTGGGGTATGGTTGCTGGGGGGCTGGGGGGGAGGGAGAGGGACGGGGAGATCATTGGGATCAAGCTGGATCTCACACACATAGGGATCAGGCTGGATCTAACTGACGTGTGATAACTGATATCAATCATGAAGGGAGTCGTGGCTCTTGATGGTGGCATGAACCTAGAGTCTGCTGGGTTTAACATGTGATTAAAAAAAAAAAAAAAAACATGTGATGTGAGTAGGTGATAGTCCAGTGTGCGTAGGTGATAGTCCAGTTTGTTTGCTTGCTGCGTCCATGGGCTCCTGTGTTGCTCGGTGTCTTGCTGTATTGGTGTCCTTTCAACAGCCCACCTGCCCATGCGCCTGCCTTGCCGTTCACTGCATTGTCCCCTTGCTGCTTACGGTGGTGCCTTGCTGCCTTGTTTGGTTGCTGCTTGCCGTGCTGCTCTGCTGCCTGCCTTGCCGCCTCTCTGCCTTCTTGCCCTCCTGCCTTGCCATTGTCATTTCTGTGCATGGTCGTTATTGTTGTTTTTGCACTCATGCGTGCAGGCCTGTGTGTGTGTGTGTGTGTGTGTGTGTGTGTGCCTCGCGCGTGGGTGGGTCGGTACGACCTTTTTGTCGTTTCTGCAATGAGCAATGTGAATGACAATAGAGTTGGCTAAACCAAATTGCAGCATTCCGTAGAAATCCAGATTACTTTGTGACCGAACTGAAAGCAGATTGCACCACGAGATAAGACCAAATAAGCAAGAGCAAAGCACTGAAGTCAAATGATAATGAAAGCCCTCTTCTTGCCTCCAACACCAATGTCAACAATGTCGCTCTCCTAACTTGGCGCCCGATGCCCAGACTATAATCAGACAGGGCCTATCGGCCTAGACTCCTATCTACAACAGGTCTTCCGTGAAGTGCAGCAGTCCGATGACGAATGAAGACTCTGAACAAAGCGGCCTGCTCCTCGCCACCAGCTGTGCACCTCCTCACATCACCCACCCCTCAACTTCCCTTCCACAGTCCCTCGCCCAAGGACCTCCGCTCAACCTCCTCTGGCTATGGGGCCAGCAGCCCGTCTGTGGCCTCTGCGCCCTCTTGCTGCACCCTTGCAGCTTCTTCCACGCGCCCCTCCAGCACCCTTCTTCCTTCCTGGCACGGCGCTCATCCAGCAAGCCAGCGTTTCAGCAGCACTGCCGCCGTCCAGCCAGCCAGAATGTTCCAAGTGAGTGAGTCTCACTCGCTTTTGTCCTGTATGACTGGGAGAGGCAGGCCCTGGCTGGGCGGCCTCTGTCCCAGTAGCTGCGCCAGGGCCCTTCCAGAATGTGCCTCAGGCTCAGCTGTAAGTGCCCTGGGCCTCAGCATCTCTGCGGGGCCTCCAACAGCTTCAACCGACCAGATGACCAGTTGGTTGAAGGTGCTGCAAGCAGCGACCAACCCACAGGCCGTTTCTGGCTCACGTTGGCCTTTACATGGGCCGCTTCAATTTGGGCAGGCTCGCCTTCACGTAGGGCGGGCGCAGGCCCTTCGCAACCTGCCTGAGGGCCCTTATGCTTCACATCTTTTTTATTGCAGTGACTGTTTTTGTCGTTTCTGCACTCATTTTCCACGAGCGTCGCTGCTTTTTTTTTTCATAGAAGGCGACAGCCTTCGCATGTCATCATCCAACCGACCGGGCTGGTTGGACTGAAGTTTGAACTCAGGTCTGTATGTCAACAGTTCGGGGTGTATGAAAGGATTTCACCTTCCTAGCCTACCATGACCCTATCCCGGGACCTGTTGCTGTTGTTGTTGCCTACTGCTGCTGCTGAAGTTTGAACCCAGGACCTTGATGTTCACTTACCTGTGTGCCTACCTGTCGACGTACCATGTGTTTGTGAGCGTTGACTATGCCTGTGGGGTCTGAGCCTGGAACTCGTTTTGTGTCCTCCAGCAAGTATCCAGAGGGTTCCAAGGGAAATGTGGGAAGTACTCCGGAAAACAAAACTCTTGAGTTTGTCACTCCATGGGTCATTGGGTGCAGTGCTGGTTTTTGAAATCAAGCAGTGATGCTGTGTGGTGAAGAAGAGCCATAGCGGAAGTAGTAGGGCAATAGTGTTGCCATCTGGTAGCCGTTGTTTTTTGTTCTTTTTGGAGTGGAATCGCAGTGTGTGTGTTGGACGCTCGTAGGGGATAGCTTGTGCATGGTGGAGAGTGAGCCATCGAGTATGAGCATCACTTCGATGTTCAGGGAGAGATCCTAGAAGTGAGCGAGAGGAGAGGAGACATGTCTGTTGTAGCAGAGCTTGTAGTATATGAACTCTGATCTGCATCTTTGTATCAGCGAGTGGCAGGGTTTGTGTTGTTGGAAGGTTTCATTGAAACCTCTAATTGAAATTCCATCGTGTAATTGTGTCTGGCCTGCTATCTTGAATTTGGAAGTCTGTGGGCATATTTGTGGAGCCGACCCATACCTGTGCGCATGCAGTATCTGACTTGACTGAAATTCCATTGAACTGTGTGGCGATTTTTTAGGAGGAAGGCAAACTTGACTTTCATGCATTCGGTGTGACTACCATATCTGCACTCTCACTTGTGTACCGCGTGTGTTGGTTCCGCACTCGCTTTTCTTCTTCTTTTGCATGTCTCCGACTTCCGTCTCTTTGTGCTCACAAGACAGTAAATGACGGTGCCCTTTTATGCTTCTGCGTGTCTCTGACTTCTGTCTCTTTGCGCTTCGTTATTGCTCATGAGACAGTAACCCTCAGGGTTCGGGTTTTGTCTACCGCAGGTGGGCAGGCTCTTGGAGCAAATGCCACTGATCAGGAGGTTGAGACATCCAGGTGTACGGAGGCGACATTGGTTTGAATTAAGCAGCATAGTGGGTGATGTTGCACTTCGAGCTGGTGATGACGAGGCAACAGTGCCATTGGTCCTAGCCATGCCTCTCCTGAAATATCGAGACTCCATTATGCCTGTTCTTGAGCGAGCTGTTCAAGAGCATTCCCACGAGGTAGGTCAACCTGTTAGACACTCTGTTATAACTGTCCCTCATTCATCATGCAAAACTGAGCTTTGAGACAATCCAAGAATTGCCAAACTCAACAAGAAGTGAAACGATCAATCAAGATCTCAGAAGTCATAAAGGACAATCAAGAAGGCAGATGGATAGAAATGCATTTCTCCTACAAAGAAGAGAGCTTCCAGCTAATAAATATTTACGCCCCTAACGAACCCACAAAAAGACAAACCCTTGTAGAAAATATAGCAGCCAGATGTCATTCACAGAAGCACCTCTTATTAGTTGGTGACTGGAATACGACCCTAGACCCAGAGAGGGATAGAATCTCATCAACACAAAGGGGAAGAGAAGACACACTTCTCTCAGAAGCCCAAGTAATGCAAGCCCTAATACTAGAAAAGGATTTAATAGAACCACTGCGTACAATACATCCTGAAGCACACAGATACACCTACAGAAAGAAAAACAGATCCCAACACATAACAAGTTCTGCAATCGATTTCTTCCTCATCTCCGAAACTCTTAGAGGCACAGTGCATAGCATAGGATTGGGAAAACACCCTTATCACAATGGACTCCACCACACCCCCATCTACCTAAACCTACTCTTCGATCCAGGATTACAGAAGGGCACCAGTTTCTTTAAAATAAACAACTCTCTACTCCATACCAAAGAAATGAAAGAAACAATAGCCCAGGCTTGCATAGAGGCAGATAAAGAGGAGGCAAATTTCCCGACACTAGTAGCGAAGTTGTCTCAAGCAGCCTCATTAGCATCCAGGAAATTAGCAAGCAAAAGGGACCAAAGGATAAGGGAACTTGAAGCAGCGGTCAACATTGCAGAAAGAAACCTTATTGAAAACCCAGGAGAAACACCCTATGAAGAATTACTAGTAAGAGCTAAAGCTGAATTAGCCAAAGGGAGCACCTGGAAAGCAAAAGGACTACGCATGAGAGCTCGGATCAGGGAATGGGAAGAGGGAGAAAAAATGACCAAGTTTTTCTTCCAGAAAATAAAAGCAAGGGGAAGAAATGCAGCCATCCACCAACTAAGAGGGAAAGAAGGAACCACGTCAAATCCAAAGAAAATGTTGTCCATAGCAGAAGCATTCTACAAAAACCTCTATACCTCCAAAACCGAGCATCCACCTCCAAGGTCAGTGATCCAGGTGAGGGAGAAGTTTTCCAAGTATCAGGACAAAACAATCCCAGATAATTTGGCAAAACAACTTGACGCACCCTTAACCTACGAAGAAATCAAAAAGTCTTTAGACTCCATGAAATCAGGGAAAACGCCAGGACTAGACGGTCTATCCAAGGAATTCTGGCAAACCTACTGGCCACTACTGGGAGAAAATGTATGCAACTTCGTGAGAACAGCGTGGACCAACGAGAGATTAGGAACCTACCTGAGCACAGGAATAGTCACATTATTATACAAAAAGGGAGACCCTACTGACATCAAGAATTATAGACCAATTACACTACTCACGGTAGTCTACAAAATCTTAGCCAAACTCCTAGCAAACAGAATAAGGAACATAACCAGATTTTGCTTCCACATAGATCAATCAGGTTGTATACCAGGCAGGTTCATTCTAGACAACATAATGACACTAGCGGAATCAGTAAGATACATCAACGATAAAAAGATCAATGCAGCCATCCTCTTCTTCGACTTCGAAAAAGCCTACGACCAAGTAAACTGGGATTTCCTAGATCAATGCATGGAGAAAATGGGGGTAGGACCCATTTTTCGAAAATGGGTCAAAATCCTCTACARGGACGCWCACGGAGCGGTTCAAGTAAATG